TAATGAAATGTTAATGAAAAAATCTAACTATTTTTATGAATTTAAAATAGTTTTCGAATTAATTGGACGTAAAATTCGATTTTTTTAAGCTAACTACTTTAATGAAAAAAATTGACCTATTTTTTATAATTAAAATTGAGAAATGTACCAATTTACTAACAACTAACAATTCACAACTTTTATAGTTTAATGACAAATATACCAATGAACTAATAGGAAAATGAGAAATGTACCAATTCACTAATTAGCTAATATTAATAAAGAATGTATGAATGTGTAAACTTAATTAATGGGAGTGTGAGTGTATAAGTAATAGGATGATATTAGTTACTATTAATTAAATTGTAACTAATATATAATATATTGTTTATAGTATATAATATATATAAGTATACTACTATAAGATGAGTAGTACACTTATATTTAATACTTTAATACACACACACACACTTAATATATGTATTTATAAGTAGATAATAAGTATATAAGTAGATATAATAATTGTTTAGCTAATATATAATATACTGTTTATAGTATATAATATATAAGTATATTACTATAAGATGAATAATGCACTTATATTTAATACTTTAATATATATATAAGTATATATTAAGTAGATGTAATATGTAAATGTAAGTAAATAACAATAATATTATAAGTAGATAATAAGTATATATTAAGTAGATAATTAAATTTTAGTAATATAATATATGTATTTATAAGTAGATAATTAATATATAATTATAAGTAGATATAATAATTGTATAAATATATGTAGAGAGAATTGAAGAAGATGAAGATGAAGATGTTTAAGAATATTAGAGAATATAGAGTAGGAAGAGTTGGAGAAGATGTGTAGAAAATTGTTTAGCAAATAGGAGTATATATAGTTTTTTATACCACACCCCACCCCCACCCCCACCCCCCAGACCCCCTCCCAACCCTCCAACAGCTATAGAGCCGTTTGGGAGTGTTCCCAACGGCTAGAAGAAGCCGGACCGGTTCATAATTTGGAGACTTAGGAACCGCCCCGTAACAATACCGGGACGGGTGACCCTAACTGGGCACATAACCGGGAACCGGGCCGGGCCATAACAGTACCGCGCTGCTTGACCCGGATCGAGTCCATCCATATCGTGTGCCTATATGTCACTAAAGGAGCCACAAATGTGTAGCAGTATAGGTAAAAAATTAATATATGAAACGACGAAGTGAATAAGATGGATCCAAATAGGAAAAGTGGATCATCTATCGTACAATATGGTAGGCATGGACCGGTCCAAACCGGGCTTTTTTGTTGTGGGTTAAGGCCCGAAACCGGTCCGGGTAACTTTTTTTATTTCCTAATTACTTCCTACCCCCCCCCCCCCCACCCGTCCACACCCCAAACCCCTCCAAAACACCCAGTCCAACCCATTTACCTCCCAAAGAATTTGAAAAAAAATGGCCCGGCCTGGGCACGATACCAAAGAACCACTGACCCGTGACCCGGCCCAAAAACCCCCGGTTCAGGCCCTAGGCCCGGGCCCAGGCAATCAGGTCGGGCCGGTTCCAAATAGTGCTAGTTCGGGCCGGTTTCGGACCGGTTGACCCGGCCCGGGTCCATCCCTACAATATGGTGAACTATCCAATAATATCTGAAAGGCTTTGAGATTTGTGAATAAAAAGAATCCAATATAGTGAAGAGTGCAAAGTCTTTGCAAGACCTCAGCTCTCGAAAAAGACTCTCATTATAAACAATTCATCAAGGAATATGATCAGAGTAAGTAGCGAGACGAATATCAATAATGATTTTCTGCCATAATCACACAATGAATCACAACTGACGTTTTCAATAATGTTTAATGTACACTTTTTTAAGCATATCTCAAGCAGTATACATAAAAATTGACTTACGTTTAGCTATATGTACTTTAGAACTTAGTAGACGTATAATGTCATAGACAATAAATGTGTATCACAGTATCTAATGTCATAGACAATAAATGTGTATCACAGTATCACTAACCTAGGCTTCTATGCAAACTACACAAACAAATAGGGAATCATGAGAACAAAAATCAATGCTAATAAATATTAGTGGTTTGTGTGAATAGTTTATAAATTTTAACATATTTTTATTTACACGAAAATGATTTATTCGAGAGCTAATTCTATAGATTATGATTGTTTTGAATATGTGTAGTACATGTACGATAGCAAATGACATTTTCTATTCATATATGATCAAGTGTTATTCAATAGAGAACAAATACGATTATATGTGAGAATAAACAAAAAAAATCAACTCCCTCCATCTCACTAAACTTTGCCAATTTTTCTTTTTGTTTGTCTCAAAAACTTTGACACTATTTCCTTACTTGTTTAATTCGAACTCGGCAAAGTCCAATTAAACTAAGGTGGTAATATATGAATGTGGATGGTCTTATGTTGGTGTTGCTCCGAAGTTCGAACGGTATGAGGCATTTGACTAATCTTATTGCTTTTCCCTTATGCCTAGGGATAGAGTGGGACGGGTCGGCCCAACCCGGCCCCGGCCTGATGGCCGATACTGTTTGGGCCAGACCCGATTTACCGGGACCGGTATTGACTCGGTACCCGGAGGTTTAATGGGACAGGACTTGGGCTCATGAAAAATGGACCGGCCCAGCCGGCCCGGGCCCGGGATCGAGCCTAACGGCTATAATTTAAAAAAATGGGTTTAAATGGAAGGCATGACCCGACCCAGGGCCGGCCTGAGGCCGACCGGGAAGCCTGGACCGGAACCGGTATAAATCGGGCCGATACAAGGCCTTTCTTCTTTAGCACCGGAGCCTGCCCGGTCCCGGGCCCAGACCCGACCCGGCCCTAGTCCACCACTACTTATGCCCCTCGGCCCTCCTTCAATAACTGATACTAGGGCTGTGCAAGAATCGGGTCAAACCGGCAAACCGGACCGGAACCGAACTGGTTAAATCGGATCCGGACTAGACCGGAATGTAATCCGATCCAATTTTCGGTTTTAGAAAATAAAAAAACCGGTTACCGGTCCGCAATTTATATCCTACACCCGGATGTATGTGTACACCCAGTTATTTTGTAATTTTTAGCAACTTTAAGCCTTTCCTCTCTCATCTTTCTTCTCGCTAAATCAACATGTTCGCTTCCTCTTTCTTCTTCTGTCGCCGTCCTCTTTTCTTTCCTCTTCCGCTGCCATCCTCTTTTCTTTCCTCTTCCGCCACCATCCCCTTTTCTTTCTTTTCTTCTGCCGCTATACTCATTCCTGATCGTTACCTTTTTAGTTTTGTCTTTTTTCTTCTTTACTTTTACTGCTAGCTAGTTGGTTTTACTTTCTTTTGTTTTGCCTTTTTTCTTTACTTCTTTTCGTTTCTTTATTTGTTGTTACTTCTTTCTTTTTTCTTTATATATTAATACTGAACGCATTAGAAATGAGTTTTAATTTAAACTCAAATGAGTAAAACGTCTAAAAAATGAACATACACAAATGAGTATTTGAATTTTTGGACACTCGTTTTGTAAGTTATGTATGTTCATTTAGTATCTCTGTAATGCTCATTTTTAAAATGTTTTAGCAATGCATATTTCAAAAGTCTCATATTACATTAGATTTATATAGGAGTTGCTTATAGACACGAGACCACAAATCATGATACTCAACCGCAGATTCTAATACTCAACAATGGAGGTTTGATGTTCACTGAAAATGTCTTGATGCTCAACGAACGAAACTTACAATTTTCATATCAATGCTCATCTTGTAAGTTGCATTGCTCATTTGTATAAGTCTGATGCTCATAAAAAATTCATCAATGCTCATTTAACAGAAACCATGATTTTCATCGATCTCAATAGAGGAGGTTTGATGCTTAATGCAAATGTCGCAATGTTCAACTAACAAAACAACTAACAAATTCATTAATACTCATTTTATAAGTTACGTATGCTCATCTGGTACTGATCTTATGCTCATTTTGTAAATGTCATATCAATGCATTTTTTAAAAGTACTATTTTATGGTAGACTCCAAATACTCAACATAATAGGTCTGGTGCTCAATAAACGTTCATTAATGCTCATTCACAATTAGAAACCATGATTTTCATCTCAATAGCGAAAGTTTGATGTTCAATTAAAATGTCATGATGTTCGACCAACAAACCTTACGATTTTCATATCAATGTGAAATTTTGTATGTTATGTATGCACATTTGGTACTGATGTTATGCTCTTTTTTACAATGTCATATCAATGCATATTTCAAAAGTATCATATTAGATTAGACTCGCATATTTAAATTAACAAGAGTGGATTATAGATAAAATTTAATAAGTTTTTATAAAAAATATAAGAAAAAGAAAAAATAGAAGATATGAAGCAGAGATCGTGATACTCGTTGTTAGCCTCCTAATACTCAATAAAATAGGTCTTACTAAAAGTACAATATCGCTCATTTAGCGGAAGCCATTGTTTTTCACTTAAATTACAAAAATGACACCGAAAAAAATTGTCATGTATTAGTTGTTGGATTGTCTTCCTTAGTTAGGTCGGATGTACATACACCCGGGTGTATGATATAGGTTCCCGTTACCTGTCCGGGTCCGGTTAGAGCATCTTCAATGCTACAATGTGCACGGTGCACATGTGGCTCGAGAGATAGCCACATAAATATTAGTAAATACTCCGTAAATTCTTTATCTCATTATTTGAATGGGTTTATGCACTTTTGGTAAGTGTTTCTGCACAATGTCAAGGAGACTGTCTAGACGTTAACATTGCAGTTGGTATTGCAGGGGAAAACTTACCAAAATTGTATAAAACCATTCAAATAAGGAGAAATATAATTTATTTGATAATATTTATGTGGTTATCTTTTCATATCAGATATGCATCGTGCACCTTATAACATTGAAGATCTCGTAATAACGGGATGTAATCTGGGTTAAACCTGAAATAACTCGTATCTATTAAAATACCCATATTACCCGGCCGTATATGCAGCAGCGCATAGCCATTGTCCGCATAACCCTAGTCAGTCGGCTAATTCCAAAGAGCCAAAACTCCAGTTCGTTCATCTTCTCCGTTCTACTTCTACTCCTCTCACGCGGTCAGCCGGTCACTCTTCTCCGTCATCTGCTGCGGGCCTGCGGCGGTAAGCAGCTAAGAGGACGGCGGCCAGAGCAACTCCAGGTCTCCAACAAGAAGGACGGCGGCCAGGACTGCATCTCAAACCACAGTGCAACTCCAGGTCTAGGTCTCCACTCTCCAGCAAGATTGGGTCTTCCAGGTCTGCATCTCAAACCACAGTGCAACCTCCAGGTCTTATCCAGGTAAATTGAACACTCCCTTCTTGATATACTATCTTTCCAAATTATATTCGATCATAGTTCTAGATTCTCGTCTCCTTAACTCTTGGCAAATCAGTTTCTCCATTGATAATGGATCAATAATTCTTGATTGATTTGTAAAGGTTTAAACTTGATAAATTAATTGTTAATTCAACTAGGTGTATTCCAGTATAATTCAACTTTGAGATTGGCTGTCTAGTTAATCAAAATTCTGAATATTTTTATGTTTTCATCCCAAACGATTTGATTTTGTTTAGCTAATTTGGTTTACTTTCTAGACATTTCAGATTGATACTGTTTTTTTAATGAAATCAGAAAATAATTACAGAAATGTAGTTTCTTTTGTAAAAAATCATCTGTAGCGGGCTAGCTCACTGAATTGATATCTGTATTTGTAGAAATCTCATAATCTCAGAGATGCTTTTTGCTTTGTCTTTTAAGCCGGATCTATAATGTATTGGTAAGGAACTAAGGATCTCTCCCCTGTCTATTTGTTTGGAGGGCTGACAGTTGCTTGTCTAGCTCATCCCCTACTTAGCTTTCTGGTAGGCATCAGGAATTTCTATTCTGAATCCCCACTTACTCATGTCAATGTCAAATCCCCCTCAAAATGCAATTCCAACTCAGCCAAAGGGCAGATCAGCAGATGGTATGTATTTAGATCCATCCTGATTGTTGGATTGAAATGAAAATCCGACTTTATGTGAAAAACAATATAATCCAAAATATTAATTCATTACTAACATAAACAACCACATTTTACTACTGGTTTACTTTCTACACGTTTACATATTGGTTTACTTTCTACACGTTTCAGATTGGTCTATTTTTTTTAATGAAATCAGAAAATAATTACAGAATGTTGTTGTATTTTGCAAAATGTTTAATGTTGTTATGCTTGTCACTTGAGAGTCCAGAATGTTGTTGTATTTTGCAAAATGTTTAAGAATGCAGAATGCTTGTGTTGAAGTCCAGAATGCTTATTAAAAATTTCAGTTTTTTAGTATGTTACCAGTTTTCCGGACCGGGTCCAGTTTGTAACCGGATTGGACCGGTCCGGTTCCGGACAAAACTGGACATATTCCGGGCCGGTTTTCGGTTGTATAATTTATCACAAACCGGTTCCGGTCCGGGTCCAGTCCGGTTTTGACCCGCTGCACAGCCCTATATTGACCCGTACTCTACAAATCTACCGATTTTTTTTACATTTACAATGCTGGACTTGATCTCTTCTACTTTTTTTCATCGTGTTCCTTGATCTCTTCTATTTTTTTAGTAAATAGATTTTTATAATGCTTCTGCAGAGAGTATGTTTTCATATACTTTCTCTGTTCTTAAATAAATGCAACTGTCAACATTTCACAATTGCCGGGACACAACTTTGACCATTAATATATAATTATATATTCTTTTCTATTAGTAAAAAAAATAAAAAAATTACATTTTGAAAATTTATAATGAGCCAAATTTAACAGTATTTTTTCAAAAAAATATATTAATACATTAATAAATAAAACGTAGTCAAAGAAGAACATGTTAATATTGTAAAATTCAACTTGTTGCATTTATTTAAGAGCGAAAGTAGTATTTGCTAATCAGTCTTTAACTGCACAGGCCTATTTCTTAACATGCAACTAATTTTTTAATAGCAGGTTACTCGTGAAATCATTTCAACCTTACCTTTTTTATTAATCAAAGTTATTCCCATGCCACTAACCATTAAATGTATGACTTGAGTAGATTTAATCATCCCTTAATTTATTAGCACATTACTCCGTATATAATATGTTGTTGTTGTTGTATTACTCCGTATATAATACTGACATACCGTATTATACTGATATACTGTATTATACAACTACGCGCCAAGAGAAAACGTATTGTGTGTGTGGAATACGTTTTCTCAAATGACGTTGTATATTATTCCAAAATCGGATTATTATTTGTAGTCGTCTGACAATCAAACATGCTTTTGACAGGAAAGTCGGATTTTGTTTAGATTAACAAAATTATAGATCACTTTCAAATTCTTACAATAACAATAATAATAAAACTGTTCTTTTCGGATTTTGATGTTAACTCTATTGACCCAAACCCTAACCTTTATGTTATACCTCTTTGCTGAATCCATACTCTGCCAGGCTTTCTCTTCACTCGGATTTCAACCATGGAAATCGAGAATGTAACCTCTGATGTGACGATGGACCCACCTCCTGCTAGCAATCCAGGCAGCCTTCCAGTGAAGCCAAACTTCAAGCCACTTACAGCGCATGAAATTTCCGATGGCCAGGTGCAGTTCCGAAAAATTCCTGTGCCGTCGCATAGGTACACACCTTTGGAGAAAGCCTGGATGGACATCTACACCTCAATCTTTGAGCAGATGAAAGTCGACATACGTATGAATTTCAAGGCCCGTAGGGTGGAGCTAAAGACCCGACCTGACACCCCTGACATCAGCAACATCCAGAAGTCCGCCGACTTTGTGCACGCCTTCATGCTGGGCTTCGACATCTGCGACGCTGTTGCTCTCCTCCGGGTGGACGAGTTATACGTTGATTCATTTGAGATCAAGGATGTGAAGACCCTCCGAGGGGAGCATTTGTCCAGGGCGATTGGAAGGTTATCTGGGAAAGGAGGAAAGACGAAGTTTGCTATTGAGAACTCGACTAGAACACGCATTGTGATTGCTGATACTAAGATTCATATACTAGGTTCATTTACGAATATAAAGGTTGCAAGAGATTCACTTTGCAGTCTGATTATGGGGTCTCCTGCTGGGAAGGTGTATTCCAAGCTTAGAGCAGTCACCGCCCGTTTGTATTAAATTATGGTGAATTTAACACATAAGTATTTTCTGAAATTTTGCAAGGGTTCTCTAGGTGACATTCCTGCTCGTCTTGATATTGTATTCATTACAAAAGTGTAGCTGAATTAAGTGCCTTTTATCAGATTTGTTTGGCCCCTGCCTGTGCTCAGCTTGTTCTTTCATGTTAAAACATGACTTTCCCAATTTCTTGTTTAAAAGAGACTTTCTGGGTTTACTTGCAATGTCAATGTCTGGTATTAAAAAATGGAAAACTGTATTATTAATCCTCCTACGATGTTTTGGTGAAAAGATTTCAAAAGGGTGAACTTCCATATCTTTCTTTTGAAGTAGGAATTATATGTTTTCTGGTGTGTAGTACGTAGTATATGTTTGTTTATTTGGAAAACTATCAAACAAGTTGGCGTACTATTAGTCCTAGTCTTTTACTTCACAATCAATCAATTAAACTCTCAACTTTGAAATTGAGCTATTTAGGATGTTTTTAATTTATTGAATTTTTTTGTCTGATGTAGTTGCTCAAGTATAAATTGATTTGAATTGATACGATGATTTAGGATGTTTTTAATTGGACAAAATTTTTCTAATCTGTTCTAGTATGTTTAAGTTTGGTTTCAATTGATTCAACTGATATGAATTGGTTTAGTTTTGTAGATGTTTATTTTATGTGTATTTTATAACTATCGAAATCTGATCTAATATAAATTGTTAAGGATTTGATTTGTGATTGAAGTTAGTTCAATTAAAAACATATTAGCTTGTAAACAATGGGTTTTGGACCAAAACCACTTTTGGATAGGGGTGGATTCGGACCGGGTCGGGCCCGGGCCGTCCTAGGCCCGGTCGGGCCGCCGGTTCGTATCACATGGGCCCGGGACTGGCCTGAGGGTTGGACGGGTCCGGTTCGGGCCCGGCCACCCGCCGGGCCGGGTCGGTTAATTTTTTTTAATTTATATTTTATATTTTATAGTTTTATACAAGTATTAAAAAACAAACTTCAAGTGCATTTATTTGAAATGAAATAGGAACTACATTTGAAAATTAAATAGGAACTATAATTGTTTTTAAAACATGAAATACTAATCAATCATTCAATATTTCAATCGGAATCTCCGGCATAGGTAGAGTCATCCTCGGTTGTAGATTCATCCATAAAGTGTTGGGATGAGGTGATGTCAATTTCTTGAGCTCTACGGGTTGCTTTCAACCAATCGTGGTAGCATATAAGCATCTCAAGAGATTCAGCGCTCAACCTCGTTCTGGTTTGTGTTAGGACATTGCCGGCCGAACTAAATTCTTGTTTCACGGCAACCGTTGAAACCGACATTGATAGCACTTGCTTAGCCATTTTTGCTAAAACCGGGAACATTCTTTCTTTTCCCTTCCACCAGTTTAGTACGTCAAAATCATCATCTTCTTCAAAATCAACATCATAAGTTAAATACAAAGAAATCTCATTAATTGTCCTTTGTTGTGTAGCGGGAGTTGATTTCGTTTTTTTAATAAGATTGACAAACGTAGATTTGAAAATAGATTTTCCTTTAGATGATGTTTGTGTCGGGGGAGGGGGCGCATTGCCATATTGTGCATGAAACTCATTGAATAATGCATAAAATATATCACTAACCTCGTTGTATTCTTTTTTCGGATCAATTGGGTTATCCTCATACATGGCAATGGACCAAAAAAAGCAGCATAATAATAATTCAAACATTCTTCTAAAGAACCAAGTCTAAAACGAGGATCGAGAACAAATGAAATACCATAAATATGCGGAATATGTGAATAATATTTTGAAAACTTTTCCTTCATAAAACTAGCAAAATAACTCACATAATCAGCATTCTCAAAATTTGAAAAAGCACCAGTGAGATTAACAGTTTCACGAATAAATTGGTTTGAGGTAGGTTTATAAACATGACTAAAAGTTTCAGTTGCATTATTAAAATATATCAAAGCATTGCAAATTTTTTCATAGGTGTCGATCTCAGCCGAGTTTATAATATAGTTATCATATTGTTTCATAAAAGCAGGAAAATGTTGTTTATATCTAAGAAGAACTCCAATTAACTTATATGTATTATTCCAACGAATAGACAAATCTTTAGGAAAAGCCACATATCTCTCACCTCTTTCTATCACCATTTTTTCCTAAGTTGTCCATTACCCCAAATATGTCTAATCTCCCCTTGACTACCTCCAACGATGCTCCCAACGCTTTTAGACCATCTTGCAAACATAAATTTAGAACATGACATGCACATCGTTGATGAAAAAATCTACCCATCAAAGAAGTAGAACCACACAATTCACGCAATCTAGGAATAGCAGCAGTATTATTAGTAGCATTATCAAAACCAATAGCAAACACCTTATCAATTAAATTATACTCAATTAAAATACGCTCAATCAAAATATAAATATGTTCAGCGGTGTGACGATCATTAAATTCACGGAAAGCAAGAACACGTTTATGCATATGTCAATCATTATCAATATAATGTACAGTCAGACCCAAATAATGTAAATTATGATAAGTATCCTCCCATATGTCAGAACATACTGTAAAATTGCAAAAGTTTACCGATTCAAAAACTAACCACTTCCAACAATTATGAACCAATTCAAATGAAAACCTGCTGCAACAATTACCAATTAAAACAAAAAACCAGCTGCAACACTTACTAACTAAAACAAAAAAACGAGCTGCAATTTTAGAGTTTGTTTGAGTGTGGGTTGGACTTTTATCCACTTGGAGAGGATCCCAAAGTCCTTAAAAGCTTGTACGTTTAACTGGTTTTATATTTTCCTTTTCTACACATGGTGTGCAGCATATTGTATGTTAAATCATTGCCGACCCTCTACCAAAAACCAGCAGCAACATTTACCAAAAACTAGCACCAACATTTACCAAAACCATAATGCAACACTTACAAATTAAAACCAAAAAACAGAAGCAACATTTTCCAAGTAAAACATAAGATGAATAAGCAGAAATATACTTTTATTCCTAAAAAGTTCAAACAAAAATCAAATAAAAATGAAATTAACCAAATATGCCAAAAAAGAAATTGAAACAATCAACTCACCTTTAACAATGCAACGCCGGGCCGGAGCAGTCGACGGCAGGCACGCTGGGACGGAGCAGTCGACGGCACATACGTATAAGGGACGACAGATCTCAGTCGGAGCCGGAAATAACTGCAGCAAGCGGCGGTGGAATACGGCAGATATCAGTCAGAGCCAGAAACGGCTGTAGAAACGGTCGGAAAGCAGTCGACGGCAAGTATGGCGCATGAGATTTCGACGTCCTTAGCTTCGTTCCGCCACGCCTTCTTTCTCCAGTCTCAACTTGCGTAACTTTGAAGCGCGGTCGGCCGGGTAGGTTTAGTCTTAAATATTTAGAGGCGCTTCTTTCTCCAAAGCGCCGCACGTTCAAAATTAAAAAAAAAAATCGGTTAGAGACTGGAGGCGCTTGGAATCCGAAAGCGTCGCACGCGGCTTGATTTATTAAATAACAAATAATTCGTAAACAATATGGAGGCGTTTTTAGTATGAATCGCTGCACGCCTGTTTAAAAAATAAAAAAAAATTAAAATTTTCGCCTAACAGAGGCGCTTGTGCTAAAAAGAGCCTCCGATGAAGCGCCTCTGTTTGACATTTTTCCACTAGTGCCATACCTGAAAATCCGACCCGCCTCCCTGTAGACCCGGCCCGACCCGTGAGTGTGATGTTTTTGAGTGGGAACACTGTTCATGGTTATTGTTCACATTTTATCCTCCTTTTGTATAATAGAAGATGTGTCTCACGAATCTAATTGTGTAGGACTGATTGCACATCATTTATTCATTGCCCCCCTCCCCCCCCCCCTCCCCCCCCCCCCCCCCCCCCCAAAAAAAAAAGAAGGAAAACGAATTGCATGAAAAATAACCCCTCTTGACTTAAGTTTCATTTGCTGTTTTAGCTTAGCATTTGTAGTTAACACATGAACTCTTATCTATAGGTCAAGCTACACTTTACAGATGAAGCATTAAGAGCGATTGCACAGAAAGCTACGATTAAAAACACTGGTGCTAGGGGGCTAAGAGCCATTCTTGAAAGTATATTAACTGATGCTATGTATGAGGTAAACTGGCTTCATGAGTACACATAAAAACCATAAATCAGGGCAGTGTTCTACCAATTAATAATTTCTTATCATTCTTATGAAATTTCACATGTAGATTCCTGATGCTCCCGAGGAAGGTGGCCAGAGAGTAGATGCTGTTTTGGTTGATGAAGATGCAGTAGGTTCTGCGACTGCTCCTGGACGTGGTGGTCAATTACTACGTGGAAATGGTGCTTTGGAAGCTTACCTTGCTAATACTCGGTTTAAAGATCAAATGGTAAATTTTGCATTGGCATGGGGTGAATTTAAATAACCTACAGGAGGAAACAGTGGAAGGGGAGATGCAGGACAGAGACGCAGAAGCATCTTCCAGAGCAATGAGCATGTAACATCCATCAGCAGGATCAATACATCTAGGGATGGCAATTTAACCCGACCCGATGGATACCCGCACTGAACCGAACCGGTCAAATTGGAGAAAACCGCTTTGACCGGGTAACGGGTACGGGGCAGGGAATACACGATTTACGTAAACAGGTAATGGGGCGGTTATGAGTTTATACCCGCCCCGTTACCCGCCCCATTTAATTTGGATACGGTTACCCACACCATTACCCGACCCGCACAATTAACTTACATATTTTAATAGTTTGTGTATTTATTATTTAATATATCAAGTATATATGAATAGTAATACATTAGTATATGACACTTATTCCTTCTAATTTTTTGAAAAATATTCAACTAATCGGCTATCCTTTGCAATTCTGAGGAGTTGATGTGCTCAAAGTTCACTATTTTAGTTTTTTAATTTTCAATATCATTCATCATCCTTCCTTTGTTAACTTCTACAAGATTTATTTTATTCACATATTGATTATTTGATTTTCGTGATTTTCTGTACATAATTTTCACCTTGTGACTCTCTTAAGTTTTCACCCAATAACTTTCATAAAGTTCACTTATGAGTTTAAAGTCCAAATATGGAAAAACATTACTCTAGATTGTTTTAATTTATGTAATTGCTAATAATTTTTTAGAGGTGTATTGGATGATTAGATTAATTTTGATTGGTTGCTCTAATTTATATCAAGATTTAAATTTAAATTATGAGGTTTCTAAAACAGTAACTACAAGAATACCTAAATCATAGTATTAGAAGAA